TGTTGCTCACTGGCGGCGACTTGGCCCGCGAGTCCGTTTGATTTTAGTGTTTGTCTGTGTTCTGAAACAGCGAAGTTGGACCAAGGTGGGCCGGTGTCCCAAAACTTGGTGTTATTCCTTTGGAAGGAGTTGGAGCAAAGTGAGCAGAGAATTTAGACACACACACACACACACACACACACACACACACACACACACACACACACACACACACACTCACATCTCTCACACGCACACACACAGCAACAACACACAGACAGCACACAGAGAAAGTGCCCTGAGCGGCAGTGCAGCTGTGTTTTACATGAAAACCCCCACTTTTGACCCCATTCCCACCTCTTTTCACCCGCCCCTTCCCCATCACCATGGGTCCTCTCTTTTCCACATGGCTCCTTTCTTCTTATCTTCTTTGCATGCCTTTTTTCTTCTTTTTCTTTCTTTACTTCCAATCCTATACTCATCTGTTCACTGAGCCTCTAGGTGTCCTTCTACCTGTTAGGCCCATCATAATCACACACACACAACACACACACACACACACACACACACACACGCACTGACTCATGCCAGTTGGGAGGAGAGAGGAGGAGGAGGAGGAGGAATGCATTCCAAATTGACCGTCTTTCTTCTGTGTTTCGGCTTGTGTACACACTTGTGCTCACATGTGCATGTGTGGTTGTTTTGTTCTGTGTGTGTGTGTGTGTTTCGACGTCGAATGACTTCCTGTTTGAGCTTGTTGTAAGGCTCCAGAGCCAAACCATTTTCCTTCTCTCTCCTCTCTTCAGTCTGCACCGCCCTCTGCAGCCCGGCCACAATTCAATCTAACTGAATTCCAACTGGAATTCAGTTAAAATTCCTCCCAAACAACCAATTAAACAAACAGAGACAGACAGTTCGTCTACAGAGCAGCTCGCCTCGCTGTCAGTGTGCCGCGCAGTGCGTGGATATGGATTTTAAAAGTACAGTACAGAGATCAAACAAATAATAATCTTTATGCCTGACTAACATTTGACTCCTTTGCAGATTGTTTCCAGCTTTCATTCGGCTGGATTATATTTGCACCTGGTATTCAAATACACTTCCACTGTGCCACTTCCCTGTACACTATGTGCCTATGCATGTAGAGTCTTTCAAAACAGGCTCTGTTTTGCGCAAAAGAAATACTTTTTTTTCTCTTTTTGGTGTGATTCATATGGGAACAGTGCACTTTTTTGGATTGTATTTGTTTATGTTCTCATTGCACAATTAACAAGCAAACCAGAGCTCATAAATAAAGTCACATGGGATCCCTGGTTGCTCATTAATTGGACAGTGTTTTGGGATCCCT